GGCAAGCATGGTCCAAACTCCTCATTCAAGTAGTTTGAAGGTTCAACTATATTATGTTGGGCGACAGGCTGTTGCAACCCCACCAAATTAAATCTGGGGTCCAGACCAAAAAATCAGGCTGCGCCAGTGAAGCGTCGCAGCAGAACCTAGGTCACGAACAACAACGGGAGACATGACGGCGTGTTTTTGAGTTGCCGCACAGCGTCACTTTTGTCCAGAGACAGGAGGCTTCAAAAACACATTTTAAAGGACGGGTTTCAAATGTGCAGGGGGTACTGTTTCATACAGTCCCCAACGCGATGGCTGTCACGTTGGCGCTTGGTTGCACAGAGTTCGTGGCTTTAATAAGGGGAAGAATCCAATGTGCTGAGTTTGCCGCATGAGCCTCGGGGAGGTCGGAAATTTTGCCGAATCAGGTCAACAAGTTGAGGCAGATGATGGTTGCGGTGAGAAATACCAATGCAGAAAACAATCCTGAAAGGAACTGAGACAACCAACCAAAAGTCCAGTAGGATCGCAAGCCGCATGACCTGCTTGGAACCATCCCGGGGATATGACTGCGGGGCGACATGCGAAGTGGCAATCTGATTCGTTGGGGGTTGTTGTGAAATGCTGTGAACTGTGATGACGTGAAGTCATTGATGATAACGTGATTCAGGAGATGACATGTTTTTCATGGGCCCTCCCTCCGACACGGGGCCCCATATGTCATATACACTGGTGACATGTGCTGACTTTGTTTGTCCGTGGCGAAGTGTTTGTCCGTGGCGAACAGTGATGGAACTCAAAGGTTCGGAGGCGAGGTTGACGGTGCCAAAAGAGGCAACAGAAAGGACATCATTGACTCATTGATATTCATTGGAATTTTGCGAACAACATATATAACAGCACACAAGTTGATGATAGTAAGCAGCCAGAGCTTTTTGGTGTTCACTTTGTTAGTCCAAAATTCCAAAATAATCCCCTAACCAAAACGGTTTGTAACACTGGCTTTCGACACACAGTAGGAGTCAGTGGAGGCGCGAGCTGCATGTTTTTTGCGTGCTGAAGATGTTTCTGGTTGTTTAAGACTCCTCGCGGTTTGGCTACGAATACTGCTACTGCTCCTGCTATACAGCGCTATTGCTGTGGATGGAAGATCTCATGGCGTCGTCTTTGTTCGGAACGGGCGCCATGGCCACACGCGAAGGCGCCTCCAGAAGTTCCAACGATTCCATCTGAGACCGAAAGTACGGATGATGATGCAGATTTTCCTCTCTCAAGAGGGGCCACTACGAGTAGTGGCCCATGAGGCGACGAGGCCAGCCGTCCAGCTGTCGTGGTTTTGGTGGAACTTTCCTTTCGGCCGAAACCAGCCGTGCAAGGCCATCTTCACCTGATGAGCAACCAAACCACTCGTGAGCTACCGGTCAGCAACCTGCAGAGATGTGACCCCATGGCGTCCAGTGTGCTAGATCTGTGCGTTTGCACGGCATTTGGGTGTGTACGCTATGAAATGAAGAGCATACATTTGTCATGACAGACTGTCAAATATGTTGCATGTTGGTGATATCGTTTAATTGATCAAGTGTGAAACATCGTGCAACTAATTTACATACCCAGTGAGTATGTGGGGGATGTCTTCACATCGCCGAGAATGCGTTTTGTTCTTTGAAAATGCTCAGCCTTGGTTCCACGTCAATGGCACATGTTTTCTGATTCTGAAGAATCTGAAGACATCTCCAAATTCAGGATACTTGCCGAAGGCAAGTCAAGATAATGTAGTGCCAAGACTCAAGGTCAAGCCTACCGTTTTGCACTTCAATCTAGGCAAATGATTGATGCCAGCACGCTCCCTGTCAAAGCCAAGGGTTAAAAAGTCAAATCGAAAAGCCGGAGCATGCACCCATTGCCTTGAAGAAACAAAAGTTAATATGTTTTTTGTTTGTGAAAGACTTGCCTGCAACATCAACAGGGTCAAAGGAAAGAAATTCAACCCAGGCATTGCATAAAAAGCCACAATCGACAGTTGGACTGTTGCCTTGGCAAAGCCGGCCTGAGGTCTATTGCGTTTGTGCCAGGGATTTTCTTCTCTGGCAAGGCGGTTGTTGTTTGTGTATTTCGAACCCGCATTGTGTATACAGAGGACGTATTGTGCTTCACTCTGGTCATTGTGATGTTTGGTCCAAATGTAAATGAGAATGCTAAAAAGAAACACCACATCTCTTTCGTCTTCGGTTTGTTGGAGTGAAGTTCAAGAGTCACAGGTTTTGTCTGTGGGCAAGTTGGTGCATGGCCTTCGCATCGGCGAGTTGGTTCTGGGCGTTCGTCCGGAGGCGGGACGAGATCAACAACTTGTGAAACAAAGTCGCATCCAACGTCGTGACACCCTAAAAGGACAGGCCTCGGCTTTTCATGTAACTACTTGGGTAGTTTTGAAAACTATTGCTATGGAAGAGCCATGAGAAGAGCTGGCTGGCTTGCGAGGCATTTGCTGATAGATGCTGGTAGTAGAAGGTCATTCCATGGTCCATGCCTTTTGCCAGCATGTGCAATATCTAAATAGTGTAGGTTAGATTGCCACCCTGAATCAGTGTCCATGCAAGGCGATTGGAAGGGAGGCGTGGAGAAGAGCGGGTTGTTTGCACCGGCAGACGTGAACGTGTTCAACCCCACACTGCATAGAAGCCAGTGACTCAATCCAAGTGACTCCCGACCGAGTCAGTGGCAAGCTCACCGACGCGAATCAAACACATGTCATTTGCTCCTTGCTACTAGTAGTAATGCCCTTGTTACTAGTAGCTTCTTGCTACAAATAATAGCGAGTAGCGAATTCAATCTGGACCATGTCATTTGATCGCCAAAACTCCGTCAGGATCCAGCAGAGCCTGACGCTAGTGGCGGATGTTACCGAGAGTGTCTTTGTCGGAGTCTTAGCATCCTGACCTACCGCAGAGGGCGCACACACACACACACACCCACACACGACCAAGGTTCCTTTGCAGCTATGAGATGGATATGAGCATCCATGAGCATCATGAGCGGCATTCCATGGTCATCACTCCTCGTCGCTCTTCGTCTAGTGGGCCGACCGAGCCAGGTGTTCATTTTTCTGCACTGCTACCTTTGGAGGGGTTGGCATCAGACCGAGCTGAGCAGTGGTTTGGTTTGAATCCCTTGTGTGGGCTAAAGCTGATGGTTTTGTGCACCAAGCAGACATAAAATTAAACCTCGGTTTGACGAGAGGGGAAACTGTTCAGCGGCCAATAACAGTGCAAAGGCAAGTGTCAACAAATGCAACATCAAAGAGGCTAATTCCAGTGCATCGCTACTAGTAACAAGTGCATGGCCACCAGCAACAAGTGCATTGCTACTAGTAACAAGCGCACCGCTACTAGTTAATAATTATTATAGGACCGGACAACTCCACATGTTAACAACTTCACCAGACACAGGAGCGGACAATGGGTGGTTGGTGGTTGGAGAGCACCAAGTACCGCGCCTGCCACGCAAATCACACCGGCAGGGCTGCGGCGACACAGCGACCCCAGGGCGTACATCCAACCCCTTGCAGAGCACCAAGTCCCGCGCCTGCCACGCAAATCACACCGGCAGGGCTGCGGCGACACAGCGACCCCAGGGCGTACATCCAACCCCTTGCAGAGCACCAAGTCCCGCACCTGCCACGCAAAAGCCACCGGTAGAGCGGCGGAGACCAAGGGACACCAGGGTGTACAACCCTGGCAGGAGCACCAAGTCCCGCACCTGCCACGCAAAAGCCACGACAGAGCGGCGGAGACCAAGGGACGCCAGGGCGTACATCCGACCTTTTGCAGAGCACCAAGTCCCGCGCCTGCCACGCAAAAGCCACCGGCAGAGCGGCGGAGACCAAGGGACGCCAGGGCGTACATCCAACCCCTTGCAGGAGCACCAAGTCCCGCGCCTGCTGCGCAAAAGCCACCGGCAGAGACCAAGGGACGCCAGGGCGTACATCCGACCCCTTGCAGAGCACCAGGTTGGTGGTGGGTTGGTGGTTGGTGGTTGGACGAAGAGCAAGGAGGAGGAGGAGTACCGAGCGGATATAGCACTAAAACCAAAGCCCCACACATCAATGTGGGGAACAAGTGCATTGCTACTAGAAACAAATGCCCCGCTACTAGTAACAAGTGCCTTGCTACGTACTCGTACTAGTAACAAATGCATCGCTACTAGTAACAAGTGCATCGCGAGTAGTCACAAGTGCATCGCTACTAGGAATGTAACAAGTGCGTTGCTACTAGTAACAAGTGCATCGCTGCACCGCTGCTGGTAACAAGTGCATCTCTACCCAGTCCGAGGTTGAGGCCAAGTTTGAGCCTACTACGATTCTTGCACATGTGCCTCCAATGGCCAGCGCCCAGAACGCATTCAGAGACCAGCTTCAATGACTGAATACGGTATATATAAAAACGATCACAAACTCAGGCTTAGGTATCCCTGTTGCTACTGACAATCTCTCATGGGTGTGATTAACCACGAATTTGTTTTTATATGGCTCATTTAGTATAAGGGAACAATGACTCAAACACAATTTGAATGTTGAATCAGGTTTTGGGTTTGCACATTCAAAATTTCCTGACCCATCTAGAGAACTTTGCAAAACTCGATTCTTTTTCACCGTGTTCTTTTTGTAACTTAATGACTTGAAGCACCTCTGACCTAGTACAGCCCATGTATTCCAACCCATTCTATATTGACACATGAGCGTGCTTGACCTCTCTTCTCGGTAGCAGCCAGGATGTTGACGTTGTTTGCCGCTGTTGATTTGTGGAGGATGGAATGCACGAGGGCTACATAAACACCTCTTCCAACAAACTCGTATACTTGCCGTTGTGAGAAACGTGCTGGTGAGAGAGAGTTTGCCTGCCCTTTTCACTTGCCCTCTTCACTTGGTCGTGCTGTCACAGGCGCTCTAATGTGTGTGGGCTCGCAGCTGAGATTGCAACCTTCCCAGGTGGGGTTGCGTTTTGGGTGGTATGGTGCCGTTTGCCGCCGTGGTCGCAGGCGCTGCTGCTTCTTGCACCACACTTGGAGCAAGCCATCTTCATCCTTCAGCGTTTGCTCATCAGCTGGGCATCCCAAATCGGCGCCGGGGGGTGGGTGGAAGTGCACTTCCCTTCGCAAACAGCTGAACGGCGTATGCAATGGGCGCCGAAAACTCAGCAGGCCCTGGTTTCTGGCTGCAAACCGGTGGTTGATTGAAGTTTGAGACAAGTTCTTTGTCCCAAAGATGCTTAGTTCCCATAATACTTGACTCATCCAAATGACTTCAATGAAAAAGGCCAATGACTTCGAAAAACTGTTTCAACATGAATTCAATTGGCCCTACCGCAGGAGACTTTGCGGTAGTGCCCACAGTCGTGCCCACGGTCGTGCCAGGTGAAAGCTGGTTGGGCCCACTGTACTTGGTCTTGCTCTCGGGATCGCTGAGCCGAGAAGAGTTGCAGCAGCAATCCCAGGGATCCGAGCGTGGAAATCAGCGATCGCCACAATTCGTTCAAGCGATGAGTGAAGAAACATGAATGTGCTGGATGAGACAATGATACATGGGTGAAACAGCGGCGAAGAAATCCATGGTTCATCATGTTTCGTTGCAGCTGCAGGCACCATCCACTTCTTCAGCCACTCATAGAAGGCCAGGGAGTCCATCCATGAACCAAAGGTGGATTATTCTTCAAGGCAGTGAGATTCGGTAGGATTGTGAGTTTGAAAGTCCACCCAGAGCCGTGGAACCATTACACCCGGGAAGACTCCGGGGAAGATTAATATGGAACCTGAAAAGGGACCTTTGGAAGGCTACTTTCCTTTACTACCCAGTGGTTTTCAGGTTCTATGTTTAGCTTTCAGGGTGTATTCGAACAGATACAAAGCCGTTCTACCCAGTGACTTGCGCTTTGACTGCACTAGATGTGGATGTCACTCCCACATCTGCCAGTAACTGCGGCCCAGGATTCGCAGAGAACTTCCTGAAAGACATGCATTGTTTCTCAGTGGAGGACCGGTTTTTCATCGGTTTTCAGTGCCGGTTTTCACGCCATGCTCCATGCACGGTTCAAACATGAAAGGAACTGCAAGAGGGTTTGTTGGCGAGCATCAGGACTGGACGCAAGGGCCCAATCGGCACACCTCAACACTTCTACAGGAAATCGTGTCGGAGGCGCATGAGCTGCCGAAAAGAACATCCGAGAAACGGACGCTGCACAGTCAGTTGCCCTTGCACCAGTTCCCTCTGGCAGGTCCACAGGAAGACTGGAGGTGTTGGGGTTGATGTGATCTTGGCTTTGGACTTGGATTTGGGTCCTGAGGACGGTGGAGAAGCGGCAGACCAGGGCCTGGCCAAGTCGTTTTGTCGATGGTCCAACCGGTCCAAGTCGTCTTCCTTCGTTGTGCAGGAAAAAGTCTTGGATGCAACCAGTGACATGGATGCCGCGTGTGTTGCATGGAGCCTCAGGCATAAATATGCATACACATGCATGTGGCAAATCGAGCTAAGCAGATTTCTTCGTAGGTCACAAAATCATCAAACATCTAAGATTTGAGAAGCCAAGAGCAAAGTAACAAACGTTTATCAGTTGAGTCAGTTGAGTCATTTTGTAATTTGTGTCTGAAGGCTTTGGAACCAGTGCCGCGACAACCCAGCCTCCTTCGCACCCTCGGCCGGGTCAGGGCACCCAGCGCAGCACAAGTTGGTGCTAATCGGTGCAGGGCAGAAGAGGGTACCACGAAACTTTAATAACAGGATAAAGACTTTGCTACAAAGATTCGAATCTTATGCCTCGTCCTTGTATTGGCCTCAGATGAAACCTGCCTGAGATTAGTCCTAAAGCGGGTTTGCCAGAAGCCATCAGGCCCTCACCAGGCAGATCTTAATGCCAACACCTGATCAGAAGCTGACCCATCGTGGTGCGGGGCCGGCTTAAGCACCTGATCGCCATGACTTGGTACTCGCCAGCCGCTCGCTCAGGTCTTAGCCTTTGGAGGTCGATTGGTGACCAGCTCTTCATCGCCCGGTCAGCCCAGTCGATTGGAACGTGGCGTGAAACACGCGTGCAGGTGTCGTGTGTTCCACAAGACCTTCCCCATCGGGTCGCATGAGGATGGAGATGTCACCGGAGGATGCCCAACACTTTTGGGCCAAAGAGTTCCTTGGCAGCCGTAGCACGTAACTACAATAGCTACCACAACTTGTACATTGGTAGAATAACGATATATGATATATATATATACACAGCAGTAACCATGTCTATGAGGCGCCTTGGTGCGGCAGTGAGACAGTGAAGCCCTCACATATAAAATAACAAATATATATATAATATATAACATTCTTTAATGCATGTGTATACGTATTTAGAGAGAGAATATATGTATGAATGCTTCTGACATTTCTTTATTACTTTGTGGCCAAGTTGTCAAGGTGCTCGATCTCATTTTTCAACCCGCATTGCGTGCCATGAGCTTGGTGAGTTCTGTGCGGTTGAGAAAGGGGACTGGAGCCGCACAATCGCACAAATACATTGGGATATTTTGCACTCACCTAGAAGATCCTAGACACTGGTGTACTTGTTTTCTAGCCCCCGTTCACACAGCAGGGTTGTCGATGTGGCTCTTCTCTTGTTTGGAGGGAAGCGATGAGTGAAGGTTCCATTGAGCTCGCAGGAGGTTCGCATTTTGATTTTCCATTTTGCCGCCACTTGCAGCCACTTGCAAGTGGCTGCAAGTGACTGCTACTGCTACTTCTGTCCGGAGAATATCATGATTTCTGCGCACGCAGTTCTGAAGCAAACCAAGATTTCTCCAATGCTGTTCTACGAAGAACCGAGCTGCGCGCGGAGACATCATGAAATAATCCAAGACTTTTCCAAGAATAAATGCAAAGCTTCTGCAGAGCTAGCGACGCTTCTGCAGAGCTAGCGACGAAGAGAAGGTTCTTTTTATACGTTTTTTTCTCCGTAGTTGTTCGTGAGTGAAAGGGAGACTCGTAGACTCAACACTTACAAAAGCAAGTAAGTAAATATGAGTCTCTATGATAATCAATCTATATATTTAAATCCTAGCTGGGCATCCTTTCATGTTGCTAGGCCCTCCTAGGCCCCTTGCTCCTTTGCACCACCGGACCCCCTAAGGCCTTTGGCGATGCTCCGGCACGGAGAGCTCTTGCATGCGGCTGCTGATGTTTGCGGCCGGATCGCTGCAGGCATTGTGTTGGGGTGGACGGTGCAGGTCGGCTTTGGACCCGGCCTTCGGTGTGAGTTCAGCGAAGGTCAGAGAGTTTGTCTTTGTTGCTTTGTGCGAAGGCATGTGTGTAGTCCACACCCGGCATCTTGAAAACCAGACATATCCATATCATGTACATCTTGGTGTTGTTTTTCGTGGCATAAAGCGCTAGCGACGTTCAAATTGTCAAGGTGAACTTTGCATTGTGGATTCCGCAGTGGCCCAGTTTTGCCCCTGAGCTGAAAACTGAAAAGGTGCAGGTGTTGAAACCAGTTAGATTTCAACCTCTGATGCTTCAAAACTGCCAATTCGCCACTCAGACCTCTTCGATCAGTTCCAGCAAGCTTTAGATGCTGCAAGCCACCAGCCATCAACCCAGATGTGTGACTGATTACTTGACCCTGGGCGATGTCAGCGATTGTTTGTTTGATGGCCTCCTGTGCTGACCGAGACTTGCCGTAGTCCAGTAGCGAGTTTCGTGGGAGTGTTGTGTACACCCCAAGCCTACACAATATGTATACTAAATCTATACTCGAGAATCTTGGCAATACAGCAAACAATTTCAATTTGTCAAGATTAAATAGTCATACGAGGCATCTGTTCCACTGAATACTGTAGTCGAAACATATAGAAACATTGTACCAGTTCCAAAGCTTTGTCGTAGGGATGTGCTACCAGTTGCCAGTTGTCACGAGAGTTGTTGGCGCATCATTTCTTCCGAACAGGTCCTATGCTACAGTGCTACACTACCTATTGTTAGATATGTGATATGTGTGGAATTGCTTTGAAAGTCGATCTCTGGTCCTTTGGGGTCCTTCGGGTGTTGCTTGGTAGGCAAGGAGTTCGAAAGTACAGCGGCGAAGCCTCAGGTGCAAGCCTTCCGCGGCGGGTGATCTTTAAAGGAAGGTCTAGGAGTCTAGGACTTGACTTGATCAATTACGTGCACCTAGTCGACAGACTGATAGTGCCCCAGCCATGTCCACACGGCTGGGAAGGAATTGTGCAGGTCAATATGTGTTTTGCTGCTTTTCCTGGGTGTTTGACTTTCTTTGCAAGGTGCGCAGCTTGTGGCCCTGCTGCTTTAGAATGTGAGAGCCTTTTCCCAATTGTATCCAATTGTGGTGCCAAAGTAGTGCCCTAAACAACTCGGCATGCTGTCCAAGAGTGTAGTGAGCAGCAAATGTGTACGATGCAAAGACGCTATACTATATACATCTATATACTGTATGTGGTGTGGTTGGCCTAATGAAGCAAAGTTCCGCCAGCGTAGCAATGGATAATCGGATACTGTATCAAACATTGCAAAAACCAACTTGTCTCTTCTCGTGGCTGCAGCTCCATGTAGACAAGGCATGAGCATGTATGAATAAAAGAGCAAGTGATGACGGCCCTTAGAAAGCTTCTCCATGCCAAGATGTGAATTCCTGTAATTGTGCACAGTGTTGCGTTCAAGCTAGGTGGATTAACTGCAATAAGAACGATGGGACGTGGCCGTCCACTTGGCCAGAGAATTTGAGCTGGTTCCATGGCGTTTGAGACAACACCTTTAGTGAGTTTTTCAGGGTCAAACGTTCAGATTTTCACCAGAAGTGCGCAGCATCGGATAGGGCAACAGACTCAAGACGCAACTTTGAACCTACTGATTAAAATTCCACATGGCGAGATGTCGAGCGACATTGAACTGATCCTACTTGATGAAGCTCAGCAGATCTTGGAAGATGAGGCGTGATAGACGTGGCTTGCAGATGTCAAAGCAATGGCAACAGGATGCAACAGGATTTCGCTACTTCACCAGTTCCATGAAGAACTGGTCTGGTGCCTCCCTCCTAGTGACCATTTGGCGCTGTAGGCGCTGGCCCGGCGCCTATCGCAGGAAGAGTTTGAACGGCTTGAAGGAGCCCCGGTGCAGGCATGGATATGGCGGATATGGATATGGAAAGGAGCTGACCAAAGGAAAGCAAGTCGGCATAAGTAAAAGCCATCAAAAGGATCAGAAGTTGGACAATTTGATACAAGTTCATGGAGAACGTGAGGGGGATATATATATATAATTATATATATATTATTATTTTTTGTGTGAGCATATTGGTGTGTTTGGAACATGCTTGCACCTTATTCTTGTTCAAGTAACGGGGATCAAAACACATTCGAAACCCTTTCAGGTCGACTCTGACAGCCCGGCGAGGACGAAGCGGAAGAGAACCCCAAGTGACCCCAAACGGCTTGGCATCAGCGGCACATAGTATATATATATAGTATATACTTGAAAGATATAACTATATTCAGAGGCAAACGGAAGGGTAGTGCACAGAAAGGGTTTTGCAAAAACCTATTCTACTAACATCGTGGAAGGCGTGGGACATTCGTAGAACCCAAGGCTATTCGTGGACAGTTCGTGGAATGGTGGGCCAGTAGGAGAACTGACTGCAACGAAATTCCAGAAACCTTCGCAGAACTTCGTGGAAAGTATTTTTGATGCACTAACTTCGTATAAGCGATTTTTGCTGACCCCCTTTCTCCACACCCTCCATTTAGCCTATATATGAGAGCCGAGCACGTTTGAACCTGCATATGTTTGAACAGAATTCATTTCAACACACGTGTTTCGATCGTTTCGATGTGTTTCAGCCGCACAAACGAGGTCTACTTATGAATAGATATGAATAGACTGTGCTGCCCAAATATCGTCATCTTCCAAGCAGACCGGCCTGAAACTACAACATGGGCCGTCAAAGAAGCGCTGGAGTCACCCAATATGAGTGAAGACATTTAATGGGCAGACTGAATAAGAGTGACCGCTCAGTTGCTCACATGTTTCTATTAGAACATGGATGGATATTGTAGATTTAGATCATGTTTCCAAACCTTGAAACTGTCAAACACGGAATGGTCTTCGTCCAAAAATCGCACAAGTTAGAACATTTTTGTTTTCACCTGTTTGTTTTCACGTGGCGGCGTTTGGATTCCAAAAATGGCCAAATAGAGTTCTGAGCCAAAGAAACAACTTCCCAGACAATGGCCTGTAGTTGGTGACGCTGCTTGGCTTTGCTTGGCGTGTTGTTTCTCAAACAACTCCCTCTCTCTATCTCATATATATATATACATACCGTATACGGTACGAATCAATTGCGTTCAATTCAAACCATGGCCCTGCTTTTCAGTTTTTATGGAGCCGCGATTGTCGGCCCAGCTATGCCTTGTTGTTTGTTGTGCCTTTGCTCATGCCTCTTTGGCCCGGACAACGCCTGGTTCCGTGTCCCCAACAACGGATGAACCAGGAGTCGTTTGTGTAAAAGGTTTGATAGCATGCGCACGGGTGCAGAATATTAGCTACCAATTCCTTCCCATAAACCTGGTCACTTGAAATGTTTGCTCTTTGTCAACCCACTTCCAACAAAAACGTGCGACCACTATCATTGTTGAAGATTCATGTGTATTTTTCTGCATATATCTATAGCTAATATATGTCTGTATGCACAAACTGATGAGTGCCACTGCATGGAGCCGGCCTTCCTCAAGCCTCCAGGTATTGACTTGGACCCGGTCCTCGGCAACTGGCCGGCAGAGGAACAGATGTCAGAAGCCGCTCGAGAAGAGGTAGAACAGATGCACCTCATCAGCATGTTTGGGGTTCAAACTGCGCCAGCACAGTTTGTGCCGGAACTTACTCTTTGATTTTGTGCTTGGTGCACAGCCTGGTCCCAGATTTTCCAAGGTGGGCTCGCTGCCTCCGGGGAGAAGAACTTTGGGATGAACTCGCGGGAGACTCCACTGACGAGGCGAACGTGTTTGAATGTGATTGAGATGTTAACATGTTTGTTTTGTTCTTTAGCCTGTTCCTACTTAATCAAGTAAGGGAGAAGCAAGCTACTAGCTACTAGTTAGCTTCCAGTAGCTGGATGCAGGATAGCTCACGCTTCTTCAAGGAAGCTCCCCAAGACTGAGGGTGGGCGGGAGCTTCCATGAAGAAGCGTTCGCATTAATGATTTGGTTCCCAGATATTTGGGGAAACTAAATTCAAAGTATTCTTTCCTCACATAGTTCTCAACCTGTTCAGATTCGGCTGCGAGGCTTACCATCTTCATGCCCTTCACTCTTTGCTGCAGGAGTTCCGGCGTGCACCAGCAGCTTTCATCAAGGAGACCTTTGCCAAGGCATGAGGAAGCCAGTTGGATGTTTCAGTTGGATGGTTTCAGTAGCAACCAGAAGGAGATGTCAATGGATGATATCTCAGTGGGCATGAGATGTCTTTCATGTTTCAATTGGGTGTGACACACACACACACACACTTAGGATATGGTGTACTGAACTGAATGCGGTGCCACACGCCGGCCTAGGGTAAAAAAACCTGAGTAAAACAGGGTGTAAAGTTGGGGGTCATCGCTCTTAGGTTAGAGGCCAACGAAAGCAGGTTGAGAGGCCATCACTAGTAGGTTGGAGACAAGAAACCACAAGACAGCAAAGCGGTCAACGTTGGAGGTCTTCGCCGCTCTTAGGTTGGAGGCCGTCGAAGGCAGGTTGTGGGGCCATCGCTAGTAGGTTGGAAACACGAAACCACAAGACAGCAAAGCGGTCAAAGTTGGAGGTCTTCACTCTTAGGTTGGAGGCCGTCGAAGGCAGGTTGAGGGGCCATCGCTAGTAGGTTGGAGACATGAAACCACAAGACAGCAAAGCGGTCAAAGTTGGAGGTCTTCGCTCTTAGGTTAGAGGCCGTCGAAGGCAGGTTGGGGGCCATCGCTAGTAGGTGACAAGAAGCACAAGACAAACAAGACATCAAAACAGCAAAA